CCTTCTTCTCGTCCCACTCTGAAACAAAATCTTTGAGCTGCATATTTAATTTCGCGCAGCCTTCACAAATTTCAAAACAAATTCCAATATTTCCATTCTCCTTCTGAGTAAATTTATTCTTATCATAATAAAGCGCATTAGCACATTTTTTGCAAATTCTTATTTCAATCCTTGGTGTATCTTTCATGCGCATAATTTTCCAAAGGATGCGCGGATTTATTCCATGCTTCTTCTCAATTTTTCCATTGTTTATTTTTGAAATAGCAGATTTTGATTTATTGCTCTTTTCCGTATCCTTTTCTATCTCTATTTCAATTATCTCTTCTTCCTTCTCATTTTTTGGCTCATTAATTAATTCAAGTTTTGGGATTTTTTCAGTTTTAAATCCGCTCATTTTTATTTTTCAAATTTTATTTTATGAATGAATGAAGAAATGGATGAAAATTGGAAAATCTATTGCCTTATATACTCACACAAGTCCCGCCTACTACAATATTTCGTAATAGATACAAATTTTCAAGGGCAAATTTTGAGTATAAAAAGGCAAAATTTTCTTTAATTTTATCATTTTAAAATTCATTTGAACATTTTAGAAAACAGTCTAAATTAATCGATAAAAATGAATTCCATTTTGGAAGATATTTCGAAAAAATTGAACTGCCCAATTTATCTGGTGAGATATAGACTAATGCATCAAGAAAATGCAGATTTGATTTCAAAATTTTTAAAAGAAAATGGAAAGCTAGAGACAACTTATTCAGATAGGAATGGATTAAACTATACAATTCGATGTGACGGAATTACAACATCGGGGGCTCATTTAATCAAGGCCTACGGCGATTTAAGTTATCCATTTAATATATCGGTTGCGGCACATTTCTTTGCGCATCACAAAATAAAACTTCAATATCCGTTTCATCAATGTGTTATAGTAAGAACTTGTACAAAGGGTGGAATTTGCGAGAGATACTTCCCGCTTGAGCTTGTATGTTTTGCTCCGACATCACCCCAATCACCCTCGTCAACATTAAGCGGTATCACTTTTAAAACACGGCGAACACAAGCAACTTCGTCTACATCAACAACTAGTCTTAATAGTATTCCATTATCCATAGAAGACCTACCACCAACACCGACTAATGCAAAATCGAGACCAGGAATTTTGTGGATTGAAATAGAAGGTAAACCCAATCAATGGGAAAAACGCAATATTTTGATTAATTGATTCAAAAATTTGATTTTATTTAAACATTAAACAAATTATAAATTTACATAGGAAATGATTATTAATATCAAAAATAAAAAAAATTATTTTTAAAATGATTTACAAATTTTTGAAAAAATCTATAATATTTGAAATGGGAGGTTCATATAAATGGAGGTTCATATTCTTATTCTTAAAATATTTTTTTCCGGGGTCAGAAATCAAATTTTTATGTTTACTCTCATACGGGTCAATAAAAGGGGGTCTATTAAATAAATTTTTATAAAACAAATTACAAAAATCAAAACCTGTCTTATGTCTGCAGGAATCAATTAAAAATTTTCATTCTGTCTCATTTGTTTATTAATTTCTTCCAGTTCATTCAAATTATTTGTTTCTCTTGCTTTTCGTCTAGCCACTCTTTGCTCATATTCAAGTTGTCGTTGTTGAACTGTGAGTGAAGGCCGAAGAAAGATATTTGAAAAATTCCCAACACAAATTTTTGTACGTTCACGTTTCCATGCTGACAAGCAGTAGCGTTGGTGCTTAGAAGTAGGCATTAGAATTTGTATTAAAGGTAGTAAATTGTAAATTGTGTGGGAATTTGATGGAAAATAGCAAAAGTTGACAGAAATAGAATATTAAAAATAATAATTCACTACACCAAATTGAATAAAATTTATGATCCATTGCTTAGTAAACCATCACTAATTATTGAAGATGAGTAGTGGGAAGAAGAATGGTACCGTCATTCACAATGGTACCGTCATTCAATACCTGAACAATATTTATGTAATTCCTGTTACAAAAAACAACTAAGTATGAATAAGAAACCAAATAAAAATCAAACAGAACAGAAATCGAATAAATAATATTTAAAAGATTATGATTTTCTAACTTTAATTTTCTAAGTTTATTAAACAAATTTTAAAACTATTTAAAATAAAACGTATTTAATTTCATTGAAAACAAAATTTTTTAATTATTAAAAAAAGTCTTTTTTTCGAGCCTCTATCCATAGCTGGTTTACACCAGCAAATCCGGCTGGATTCGCTGGATCATTGTAAAGTTTATCTAAAATCATTTCCATTCTGTTGGAGGTTTCCATTTTGATTCAGGTATTTCTTTGGATTCAGGTATTTTTCTTTTTTGCTTTGTATTTGTTCTTTTTGGAGTACAGCTTTCTCGTGCCTTCTCTATCAATGGCCAAATAATTTGATCGCTTTTTAATTTATTTTCTAAAACAGATGTTCCTGGAGGTGTCAATTCACCCCATCTCAATATCCCACTGATTCCTGTTCGGAGTATGCACTCTATGGATTTTTGTGCATTGCTTCCCCGTATTTCTTTTCCTCCCTTCTTACTTAAAATCTTTCCATCTGTGCTCACATCATATTTATCAAGATTCTCTTGCTTCATACTTTCAAATATTTCTTTTGTTTTTTCTTTTATTCCTGTCTTTTTTGGTTCAGTTTTCCTTCTGGAATCCGGAGATTCCTCATCGGCCGTATGCATACTAAGCTCATTTTCATTTAAATCGGCACCATCGTCTAGATGTGGTAATTTTGGTGTGGCTTTATTTTGTTTAAGTAGTTGTTGCTTACTTTCATTGGAGTCTGTTTGGAGTAGGGGAAGTAATTTTTTGATTTGCTCCAGGGCTGGATCTCCCATTTGTCTTATTGAAACATTCATTGGTCTCTCATTTTGGTCCTTCAACATGTGTAGATAACGTCTCAATTCCTGATTATAATTTATATTCTTTAATTCCTTGTTGGCATTTTGACTTTTGATATTTTCCAAATTTTCTCGTGTAAAATCCAAATTAATATTTCCTGTTTCTGGTGTGGGTTTAGTAAGTAATCCGCGATATATATCTTCAGGAACTAATATAAATTTATTTGCCATTTTTATTAATTGCTTGTTAATGTTTTTGTTAATTCAATAATGATTGGTGTTAGAAGGGCAGGAAATAAACCAATTGGTAAACCGCTTCCTTTTTGTATTACTGTACGTCGGGCTCCTCTTTCTGTTTTTAATCTACTCACGCGACGAACAAAATCAGCGAATGGTAGAAGACGAGATTTTTGTCTTTTAGTTAATTTAAATTGACTACGTATAATATTGAAACAAATTTCAGTGAGAGAGAGTAATTGGTCGGTTGAAGCTTTTTTTAAAAGGCGTCTTCTTTTAGTTAGTGAGCGTGCTTTTGCGAGCTGTTTGAGGAAATGTAGGTTGTCCTTGACAAGTTGACTAATATTCGTTGACATTATTTTAATTAGAGAAATTCTTGGGTAAAAATATAATTGGTAATGAATTGTATGAGTCTTCTGATTCTTTGTCCTTAAATATATTTGTTCTTAGTCTAAGTGTTGGATCTGATGAGGGGTGTAAATCGATAAAGAGATAAGAATAATTACTGCTGCTTGTAGCTTGTCGATATGCGTCTAGAAAATAATTTAATCTTCCTGGGAATAATTGTACTCCTAGATTTCGGATGGCCAATGCACTATTTGGTGCGCGAGTTAATACAATATACATAGAATTTTGACGTGCGACTTTGAGTTTTTTCTCGAAGAGATTTTGAGTGATAAAAATTATGCCAAAATTGAGATGATGAGATTTCTTTGTGAAAAGTTCCGATAAATACTTTTCGTCAATTGAGTACATTCAGTCATCAAGAATGACTAGTGCAGGTTGTTCTTGTTTCTTAATGAGATCCTCAGGGGGAACTCCGGAATACACTGAAACTCCTGTGCGCTGTAGTTCGGGAACAAGAGTATTATATTCGCCATAGCAGTAAAGAATAGATTTTGGAATAGGATCAATAAGTTGTTCAGAATTGAAAATTAATTTTCGGACAAGCGTACTTTTCCCAGTTGAACTTGGGCCGCTAATAATACAACCAAATGGAAGTTTTAATTTTAAATCTTTATTAGCAAATAATTGATAATTCATTTTAAAATATTTATCGAAGATTAAAAATATAAAATATGATTAATGTTTATTGAAGGATTATTAATTTGAGGATTAATAAGATTTAATATTATTTGGAAGGGTATCTTTTTCTTCTAATTTCTTTTCTTTATCGTCTTCTTTTATATTTTCTTTTGTTTCTTCTATTCCTACTTGAGCCTGGCTTTGTGAAAACTTTGACAAAAATTCCTTGATAGTCATCTGTTCATCTCCTTTATTAAAATCTTTTTCATTCCACTTTGGCTCCTTGTGAATGATATTGAAATTCTTTCCTTTTGATTTAACTCGAAAGACGCATTGTTGGGGAATTTCATAGATACGGTCAAACATTACAACTTTTTCTGATTTTAGTCGATTACAATATACGGTTACATCCTTCGGAGTAATAATAAAATCAATGTCAACATTTTCTCCCTTGCAACTTTTACATTTCCCCGCCAAGTCAAACTCAACAAAACGTGCTGTTATGAGCCGTGGTGAAGAAATTGTCACACCAGACGAAGATACACTAAATAAAACCTCAGGGAGCACTTTTTCCAAGAGTTGACAGTTATTCTCAATTACTGACATTTTTTAAATAATTTTATAAATGAATTCAAATTTTGAATGGAAGTTTGATCTTGGGAAATGTTTCGGTATTTATACACATAAAATGGGCGTGGCTTCCGAAAAAAAGAGAATTTGATTTATGAATTGAAAATTCCTATGTTAACTAATAATAAGTAAGGACAATTCCAAAATTTTTATTTCAAATTAAATTATTACAATTATCGAAATTATTATTAAAAATAACAAGTTAACGTAAAAAATATTTTTTTAAATTTTATTCCTTTTTCATGTTCTGTACCTTCTTCTCGTCCCACTCTGAAACAAAATCTTTGAGCTGCATATTTAATTTCGCGCAGCCTTCACAAATTTCAAAACAAATTCCAATATTTCCATTCTCCTTCTGAGTAAATTTATTCTTATCATAATAAAGCGCATTAGCACATTTTTTGCAAATTCTTATTTCAATCCTTGGTGTATCTTTCATGCGCATAATTTTCCAAAGGATGCGCGGATTTATTCCATGCTTCTTCTCAATTTTTCCATTGTTTATTTTTGAAATAGCAGATTTTGATTTATTGCTCTTTTCCGTATCCTTTTCTATCTCTATTTCAATTATCTCTTCTTCCTTCTCATTTTTTGGCTCATTAATTAATTCAAGTTTTGGGATTTTTTCAGTTTTAAATCCGCTCATTTTTATTTTTCAAATTTTATTTTATGAATGAATGAAGAAATGGATGAAAATTGGAAAATCTATTGCCTTATATACTCACACAAGTCCCGCCTACTACAATATTTCGTAATAGATACAAATTTTCAAGGGCAAATTTTGAGTATAAAAAGGCAAAATTTTCTTTAATTTTATCATTTTAAAATTCATTTGAACATTTTAGAAAACAGTCTAAATTAATCGATAAAAATGAATTCCATTTTGGAAGATATTTCGAAAAATTGAACTGCCCAATTTATCTGGTGAGATATAGACTAATGCATCAAGAAAATGCAGATTTGATTTCAAAATTTTTAAAAGAAAATGGAAAGCTAGAGACAACTTATTCAGATAGGAATGGATTAAACTATACAATTCGATGTGACGGAATTACAACATCGGGGGCTCATTTAATCAAGGCCTACGGCGATTTAAGTTATCCATTTAATATATCGGTTGCGGCACATTTCTTTGCGCATCACAAAATAAAACTTCAATATCCGTTTCATCAATGTGTTATAGTAAGAACTTGTACAAAGGGTGGAATTTGCGAGAGATACTTCCCGCTTGAGCTTGTATGTTTTGCTCCGACATCACCCCAATCACCCTCGTCAACATTAAGCGGTATCACTTTTAAAACACGGCGAACACAAGCAACTTCGTCTACATCAACAACTAGTCTTAATAGTATTCCATTATCCATAGAAGACCTACCACCAACACCGACTAATGCAAAATCGAGACCAGGAATTTTGTGGATTGAAATAGAAGGTAAACCCAATCAATGGGAAAAACGCAATATTTTGATTAATTGAACAAAAATTTGATTTTATTTAAACATTAAACAAATTATAAATTTACATAGGAAATGATTATTAATATCAAAAATAAAAAAAATTATTTTTAAAATGATTTACAAATTTTTGAAAAAATCTATAATATTTGAAATGGGAGGTTCATATAAAAATCGCCATCTTGAATACATTATGTAATCTGTTCTATTATGCTTTCCAGATTTGAACTTTTTGTCCCAAAGGTCCCAACGTAGAATCCAACGCCCCATATTTTTTATTTCAACTTGTCTTGCTATATCACTCTTCTTCAGATGATAGATATCTTTTACAAACCATTTCTTAATTAATCTTTCTTTTCCCTCAGTTTTATTCAATAAACTATTGTTTAATTTATTGCCTCGTCGAAATTCACCTGAATTATTAAAATCTCTGTTAGGAAATATTGGTTGTGGTGTTCTTCGCCATATTGGTATTTCCATTAAATTATTTTCTTCTCTGTTAGCAAATATTGGTGGTGGTGTTCTTCGCCATATTGGTATTTCCATTAAATTATTTTCTTCTCTGTTAGCAAATATTGGTGGTGGTGTTCTCCGCCATATTGGTATTGGTGTTCTCCGAAATAATGTTGTCACTAATTCGCTCTTCCTGAGTTTATCGTCCGAACTCTCGACCACTAAGGACAGAATAGATATTAATATTATTGAAAACATTAACATTTTAAAAATATTTGGTGTAATAAAGAAGGTATTAAAATTTTTTCAAATGCTTAGTTTTTAATTTTATTTTTAAATTTTAAATAACGATATTTTTTACTTCTGAGTAATAGGTGTTTATTTAAAATAGGTTTTTATTTGAATGAATTTTATTTTTTAGATGTGGTACAACTTTACCCTATTTTTTTGCCTATTTTTACTGAAGATATGTGATATTCTCTTAAAATATACAAATTTTTAATATTAAATTAAAAAATAAATACAATGTGAATATTTAATAAGTAAAAATATGAAATCATTTTTGTCCAAAATGTACAATTTTGAGGTTATTGGATATAATTCCTTTTTGTATTATCGGTCTAAATATTTTTTTCATCTTAGTTGAATAAACTGTACCATCCTTCACGTTCCGCCGTATAAAGTTTGGATTTTCAATCATAATTGTTCCTCTATCCATGTCATCATCATCCTCATTATCGTTTCCTCCATTTGCATAATGAAGTACACTCTCTTTAAAACTGTCAAAATGTAGAATTTTGCAAACATCAGCAGTTAATGTTATGCCACGTACTTTCAGAACACTACTAACTTTGGCATTCTTTTTGCTCTCCATTCTAAGTGCGTAAGCCTTGCACGCACCTCCAACATATTCTTTTATTTCAGATCCTGCATATTCTCTCGCTAAGTCTCCTAGATGAGGTCCTGTTTGAAGAGGACATTCCATGTTCTTTGGATGAGAAAATAGTATACTGTCTGTGTCTCCATAGAGAATATTGCATCCTGGTGATTCAGCTACCTTTTGCATTGCTTTTAATAGTTTTATTCTTGCTGCTGATGTTGTCCATAATGATATAACCATATTTGATGTATCATGTTCAATGATAAATTCTTCTTTCTGTTTGTAAGTTAATAAAACTGTTTCTTCAGTTAAATTATCGATAGATTGTATTTCAATTGAGTTGTTCTTGTCATAATCGATAAGTTCAGCTGGTGAATCAATGACTACACTTCTTGATTGACCATTCCTAAGACTGAATCTTCCCCATAGTGAATTGAGCATTAGCTTTGATATGTAGCGCATAGCCTGATCTGGTACCATTTTTTCTCTATCAAGCTCAATTCCAAATTTTTCTTTGCATTCTTTTATGAACTTATCTTCATTTTCTTTTCCTTCTATTCCTTCAGGAAATCCACTTGCATGAATTTTCATTGCCATAAATTCGGCCACATAATTTTTAAATAAATTATCATCCCATTTCTCATAATGTAGTGCTCTATAAAATCTTGTAACTGTATATCCAACATTTAAAGCCTCTTCCAATTCAATCGATGTACATGTTGAAACCCAGCCTCTTTCATCATCATTGTGTGTACATCGGTAGTCTTTGATGTTTGCTCCATTTGGGTAAGTGAGTGAGCATTTTCTACATAGTGGGAATAGAAGTCTTTCGTCAAACTTGACTGGAATTACAGGGACATTCAACTGCGATGGCGGTATTAAAAATACTTTCAAAATTCCTTTGAATGGGATTTGGTCTCCCCTGTTCCAATTAACTTTTTGTTTAGCTAAAGGTACAACATGTATTTTTGGATGCCCAACAGGAAATGATGTTGTAGCAATTGTTGAAGGGTAGAGAGAATTAAAATCTAAATAAGCAATTTTATGTTGTTCTGAGTCAGCGTCAAAGTACATTTGTAAAGGTCCTGTCCTTCCACCGAAATAACAGTCTCTAATATTTATTGGTCCTTTGTTATGATAATTTGAAAATGATCTTCGCATATTTTTGCTGCGACGTAGCATTTGACGAATTTCACATTCCCATATTATATCAACATTTTTGATATGTCTTCGTATAATTGCCAAACGATTTTCATCATCTTCTTTAGTCTTAGCCATTGTTTTCCCATTTGGTAGAATTTTATACAAATCATTTCCAAAGCATTTTTCACATGCATGCCAAGCACATCCATTTACCTCAATTGCTCTATCTTCTTCCTTTATATATCCATCTACCTTGTATCTTCCAGCTACCACATGTTCTCCGCCTTCTGAATGAGCGCTTTGGATTTGAACTCCACGTGTCTCTTCGTACCATTGTAAATATTTTAGTGCAAGTTCACTTTGATTATCACAGCTTTCATATCCCTTTTCAGGAACAATTGCCAAGTGTTGAGGTTGTAGATGTTTAAGTCGAAAATGCTTCATACAAGCTGATGCTATCGTCATTGCATCTCTTAAAATATCAATCCCTTCTTGAGATTCTCCAGGTTGTGTATTTTTCTTTTTGCTAATTTCCATAAATTTCTTTCTGAAGGCAATAAGTGCTTCTGTGAGAATCTGTACATCGTTTGTGCAATATTCGGCCAATGCTTCGTCCAAACAAAATTGGTGATTTTTTTCTTCTTCATACCATTTATCAAATTCACTTTGCTTTTGAGGGGGCATTCCTCCATATAAATAATCAGATTTTAAGGGTAATTGTTGAAGCGTTCTCCCATAATTATAGGGGATGTTTGCCAGATGAGGAAAAAATTGTTTTTCAGTTATTTGCAGTCCAAATGCTCCAATCAACTTCCCCAAGGCAACTGGACAGAGATTATACGAGTCACGAAATATAACCTCATTGCATTTATTGTTTCGTGGAATTTTTAATTCATAAAGCTTATTACCACGACGAATCATTGATGGCACAACCCCTTTCAAATAAATTTCTCTGAATACCATAACCATATCATAACGCCCTCCATTGTGTGAAAATGCCATTGTTGAATATTGAGGGTTGAGTTCAAATAGAATCCATTGAATAAAGTCTTTGAGCGGATTTTGTGTGACAGTTTGTTTATCGACTTTTGTCTGATTGAATGGCTGATGCGAAAATGTTACTGATCGATTGTTTCCACAGATTAAGCAACTATCTCCATTTTGGTTCAGAGGTGAACGCATATTTTTCCATCTTCCATACATTTTGTACAGGTTACTGTGGCTGCAATGAAATTTACTTTGTGAAGCCGTCTTTCTTCATTTACATTATTTATTTTCTCATTTTGTGTTGCTTCAAAATCGAATGTTACTAAGCGATACGGTATTGATTTTTTATGTTCCAAAGGGCGAATGTAACAACCTCTTTCAATGCTATGATATTGACGGCAAATTTGACACCATTTTTGTCCGCATACGTGCTTCTTCTGCTCCTCTCTTTTATAATTTTTCATTGACCATATTACACCACACTTTTCACATATTTTCGTTTGCCGACAATTGCTGCTTTTCTTATGG